ACGGCGCTTTCCTCCTGAGCGCAGCTACTCAGCTGGGCTGAAAATTCTTCAATAAGAATACGAAAGACCCATCTGTTCCCTTTTTCTCCCAGCCCTCTGAAGTGACAGTCCTCCCCAGCCCCTGTTCGCGTTCCTCGCCCGCCGCTTTTCCGTAGCTGCGGGGATGGCCCTCCCCCCCCTCTCTCCCAGCCCCTCCCGCCGGCTGGAGCCCCCTTCCTCCAGGGCATCACCCTAACCCATGGTCCCCTCCCCTCCTTGTCCTCCCCACCCTCCCTCCTGTTTGCCTTCTCCTGCCCACCCTTTATCGCCAGCCTGTGTTGGCAGCGACGACGGTCCAACTTGCACTGAAGGAAGTGGAAAGTGTCTGGAGGATTTGCCTCCACGGTGTTTGTGCTGCTGTTGTTGGTTGTTTTATCAGTCCAGGTTGAACCCTCAGATAAAAGTGGTGGCCTCGATGAATACTTGCGAGTTAAGCACATTTGCGCACACGGTGGTTACTTTTCCGTAAGGCGGCCTGCGTTTAAAAAAAAACTCTGAGAAGGAAGTGTGAGGCAAGGCCGTTCCCATCTCCTCCTCCTCCTCCCCCGTTCCTCATTTTTCCTTGCGGCTGTGCAGGTGCCTGGCATTTGAGTTATGCACCCTCTTGAGGACTAGGGCCTTTTTTCCCCCAAAAAAATATTTGATTGTTTGTTGGAAGGAGATTTGGATCTGCCACCAGTTTCCCAATGTGAGTGGAAGGTCGAGGGGATTTCTAACTGCTTTCCTCCTTTTTTTTCTCTCCCCACCCCCCACCCCAACTTTCGCTCCGGCCAACTCGTGGTTGTAAACACGGAGAGCAAGGCATTGTTTTCTCAGGAAGCATTGAATATAAATACGGCGTGTGGGAGAGCATGTCCTGGGCCGAGATGAAACAGGACTCGGTGACAAGCCTGGATTATAAATGGCTTCCTTGGATTGATCCAAAAGCAAAACATTTCTTTTGGGGAGAAGTAAAATCCTAAGGGAAGTTTACATAGCCTGGAAACTTGTTCAGGGCCCTGGATGGCGAATCCAAACTTTGTGTGGTGTGTGTGTGTGTGTAATGGGAGGGTGGGGTGTTTAAGCTGACCTTTTGAGCCAGAGGGAGAAAGATGGACCCCAGGATTGGCAGGTTTTGCTCTTCTCTAGCTAGTCTATATTTCACAGGCTGGATTTAACGCTGCCTCTGTCCAGCGGAGTGATTTTTATTTCCGAAATAAGCAAAAAGAACCGGGGCTTAAATAGTGTTTCAGATAATCGCCTAGGTTGATTTTTGCCTCCGTTGCCGTTGCTTCCCTGCGTTCCCTCTTGTGTCCGGGGCTGTTTATCTCGATGCTGAATTTTGAAAGATTAAAAAAGACTCTTGGGGGCAGGTTTCTCTCCCCCCCCCTCCATTAAATCTGTTGTGTGAAGAGTGGCCTTTTAACAGCAGTTTGTGCTTTTTAACCAATCGTCATTTGAAAACTTTCTAAAAGGTTTTATATCCTCAGATCCGCTCTTTCATAGGAGCTGCCAAATGGGAGGGGAATCCTGTGAGGGGGGGAATTTCCACTTAGGGGGCTTTCTGTTGCTCTGAAAGAGGAGAAGGGTGGAGGGATGACGGGACACTGCGAATATGTGGCCTCCTACTACCTGTAGGAGAGTATGGAGATGGCCCTGGAGTAGGAATTCAACAGCTCTTAGTAAACACCAGCAAACACTGGAAGGGAGAGGGTGTGAGAAAGAAGCTCAAGACTGCTCTGCCTTGATGCTGTTGGGTATCAGACGGGTGATCGGTCGGGGGAAGATGGAATCTGTTGTTCTACCCCCAAATAGAGTCTTTGGAGTGTCTGTTTCTCAACCGATCCCATCCCGAAGAGCTGATATCACCTCTGGCTGATGCTGGAACATCTGCCTTGCTCAAAAGATTCACTCTGGGCGTTAATGCACCTAGATCAGCTCTCTTTGCAGTGAATCACCAGTGGCTTTTTGGGGACAGGCTGATTCCCGAGTTCTCCAATTAGGCAATCTCTCCAAGCCCGGCCACCGTTCGCACTTAACGACCCTTTGCAGCATCCTCACGGTCGCGCGATCAAAATTCGGACGCTTGGCAACCGGCTCATATTTATGACGGTCGCAGCGTCCCGAGGGGGTGGTGGTCACGCGACGATCCCCTTTTGCGGCCTTCTGACAAGAAAAGTCAAGGGGGGGGGAAGCCAGATCCCCTTTTAACAACTGTGTTACTTAGCTTAACAACGGGAATGATTCATTTAATGACGGTGGCCAGAAAGGTGATAAAAGGGGGCAAAACTCACTGAGCGACATAAGTGTTGGGCTCAGTTTTTGTCGTAAATCGAGGATTACCTGCAAATTCACTTCTCCTCTCTCTCTCTCTCTCTCTCTCTCTCTCTCTCTCCCTCTCTCCCACACACACACACATATACATAGACACAGATCCTTCCCTAGATCTGGAGCTGGGCTAGGTGTTAATTTCCTTCAACCCTCTCCGGCTGAGGTGTAGCTTAGAAGAGATGTGGGCCTAGGCTGTTCCTTCTTTCTGGAGCAGCTAAGGCCAAGGAAACACGGTGACGAAACTTTGACCTGGATTCCCCTCTAAGCCACTATTACGCAAGCAGATGTGTGTGTGCGCGCGAGCGCGCGAGAGAGAGAGAGCATCTGGGTATGCGTTCCGCAGAACCTAGATGTATCTAGGTGTGTTCAGGGTGTGCCCTCTCTCTGAGGATACGGGCGGGCGTGTGTGTGTGTTTTTTCTCTACAGGTGTACGTGTTTTCGTTCCACTGTTATCGGGGCATCGCATTGTTGTGGGTGAAAAAGAACAATGCAAAGTGGAGGCTTGGGTTTATTTTGCAGGGTTCGCTGGCCCTCCCACGGGCTCGATCGGTTTTGATTACGCCTCCCTGCCACTTTGACAATGAGATCAACAGCCTCTGCCTTCAGCTCTCTGTGCTCGCCGGCCAGCGCGATCTTGCAAACCATTACGGGAAACGGGCCCCGTAATTGGGGCATGGATACGGTGGGTTGGCTGTCTTTCGTCCCACAAGAGAAAGGAATGGTGGGAACCGGACTACTTAGCCAACCGAAGTGGCTGAAGCGATAAAAGAACGTTTTAGAAAAACCACAATTCACAATCCGAGCAGAGCAATGCTCGTTTTGGCAGCCTAGGAATGTCGGTTGCGGAGGCAGAAAAATCACTTGATGTCCAGGAAGGTTTTGAGGATGTTTTAAGGGGCATTTGCTCCTTGCTGTCACTTGTTGGTGGATCAGCCATCGGCCAGTGGGTCTCTCCCCTGTCGCTCTTCATGGGAAATGGTGCCCAGAGCGGTCAGCCACTCACGCCAACCAGCCTCTTGCTGACAATTGGACGGTCGTTCTGACGTTTCAGGCTGTTCTATGGGGCTGTCAGGCTGAAGCACTGGGGGAAGGCACAAGGGCTTCTGGGTGCACCACCAGGCCTCGGATGGATGGCACGCTGTGCCTACCTCTTAGGGCTTAAGTGGGAAAGATACCCGGGGCTGGATGGAGGATACGTGGGGCAGAAGCAAGAGAAAGGCCTGGGGGGGGGGTCTTAAAACCCAACCCAAGTGTCATTCTAATTTGCTTGGTTTGTTAGTAGATATATCTTGTCTAGCTCCAGCCACTCCAGGCAACTAACTTCCCAATTAAACCCCCTGAAATAATAAGAAGAAATTGCACGATCGTAATAATAATAATAAAAGTAAAAACGTGCGGTTACCTGTGAGACAATTCGCGTTGCAGATCTTAATCTCCAATTGCTACCTTAAAGAGAGGGGCGTTTGTTGTTGTGTGGAAAGATAAGTGTGCGGGCACTCTTATCTGTTTCTTCCCACAAGCAGGTTGGAGGGGAGCAGAATTACGTCTTGGGCACACGGGACAAATTAGTGGCAGGAAAGAGAGAAAGGGCATCGTTGACACAGCAGCCAGGCAGAGCTTTGGAAAGAGGTGGTTACTTCATTTCATCCAGCCTAAATTCCGTGTCCATGTATCCCTTGCTCCTTATTCTTGGAGCAGACTCGTTGAATGAAGGGAAAAGACACAAACAGACCCCCTTCTCAATCAAATCAGTCAGGCTGGGCGCAGGAGACAAGGCCTCGGTTGTCTTGATGTCAGGGGTTTTGAACTCACCTCAAATGAATCTTTGAGATCTTTTGTTTTTCCTGCCTCTTGGACAAGCGGTCGGGTTTTCCAAGATCACGTTTTTCTCAAATATCTACAGTACTTGAGGGGGAAGATTCGTTCTCCGAGCTTGTGGGTTGCTTTCCGAACGTTTCGTTACCAGGCTAGGTAACATCTTCAGGAGAGTTTAGGGCAGAGGCCCTCAACCTTTTGGGGACCGGTTCCGTGGAGAGAGGATTTTCCACGGACCGGAGGGGACGTGGTTTTGTATGCTGCCTGCATCCTGCAGATGGGCTTTGCTTGTTTGTGTGGTCCAGTTGCTGGCATGCCCGGTACTGATCCACAGACCGGGGGTTGGGGACCCCTATCTACAGCAGGCATGTCAAACTCGTGATGTCACGTGACGTCGCGCAACATATCGGGACTTTTTCCCCATCACCGGCAATGGGGTGGGCGCAGTTTCGCCGTGATGCATCCGGCCCGTTGCCTGGCAGTTTGACATGCCTGATTTACAATATTTGCTGTGTTTATTATACGTTTATATGTACAGGTTGTGTCATTATTTGGAGCGTGTGGCCTTGAAAAGCCATTATACATGCTTGGGATAGAAGCAGTGGTGGGATTCAGCTAGTTCGCCCCATGTTCGGCAGAACCGGTAGCTAATTATTTGTTGCCCAGGCCCAGAATGGACTTCCAGAAGTGGCATCCATGCAGAGAACCCGGTTGAATCCCACCACTGGATAGAAGAATGAGTACACCTCTGCTAATATTCATTTTGTTTCTCTCTCCCTCCCTCTCTCGCTCTTTCCCCCTGCCCCTTCCTCCAGCTGAAAGAAGAATATGCACTGACACAATCTCAGGAAACCCCAAGATGGCTGCCAAGCGCAAAGGTGGCCTGAAATTAAACGCAATCTGTGCCAAGCTCAGCCGCCAGGTAGTCTTTGAGCACAAAGGACCTGAGCAGGGACATGTCGACAGTGCTCCCCTTGGGTGGGAAAGCGTTGGCGTTGACGTGGCAGGCCCCAAGGAGGTCGCCCAGGCGGCCGCCAAGGAGCCAGGGGCCGAGTTTCCGGAGGGGCCGAAGCGCGTGCAGAAGATCGAAGAGGACAAGCGGAGGGAGGTGATCGAGAAGTGGGTCAACGGCGAGTACGGCGAAGACCCCTTGCTGGGGCGCATCGAGAACAAGGAGCCCAAGGCCGCCGAGGGGACGGAGGTGCCCCCCGAGGGGGTCTACATGGTCCAGCCGAAAGGTTGCAGCGACGATGAGGATAACGGGGACGAAGCCGCGCCCCTGAAGGACTCCCAAGATGGCAGCTTCCTGGAGGACCGCGATTCGGACGGGCCTCCCCCGAAGGACGAAAGCATTCGGGCTTCCAACAGTGAAGTCAGCTCCAAGCTCGGTGGCGGAGCTCCTGCAGGTGAGATGGTTCACGCACGGCAACTCGGATGTCTTACTTTGGGTGCAACGGGTAACCTGCCTTTCCAGAAAGCCTGGGACAATCTCCTTGGTGGGGGCATGTTTTGCATGGAATGGGGTTAATCACATGTTTTTAGATCTAGGTTATGGAGATCTAGGACCTGGACAGCTATGCAAGATGGGTGTGGATTGACATCATCCAAATAGCTTTTAGCTCAGGGGTGTCAAACTCAATTTCATTGAGGGCCGCATCAGCATTGCGGTTGCCCTCGGGGGGCCGGGTGGGTGCGGCCTACTAGGTGGGCATGGATGGAATGGGTGTGGCCTACTGGGTGGGCATGGCCAGCTCTACATCATTCGTGTCAAGGGTGCCTGGGCAGGAGTGGGACAGATCTGAGGGTCTCTGGCAGAAAGGGGTGGGACCGGGGCAAGCGCCAAGGCATGGTCCATTTCTTCATTCCTCACAAAGGGTGACACCTCCCCAGCATGCACCCAGGGGCCTTGTGGAGCTAAGACTGAAGGCCTTTCAGCATAGATGGCCACCACAACATTGTACATTGGCTCCCTCCTGGCCGGCCAGGGCCAGGGCCAAGGCAGCGGGGGCCATTCCCTCACTGTTTCCAGGATGGCTTCGCGGGCCACATGAAACCACTTCGCGGGCCGCGTCCGGCCCCCGGGCCTTGTGTTTGACATGTCTGTTTTAGCTCCTTCAGGGCAGGGCAGTGTCTTTTCCGTAACCGGAAGACCCCAGCCCAGCCTTGAATCCCCCCCCCCTATTGTAACCTGGACAGCTATGCAAGATGGGGGTGGGTTGACATCATCCAAATAGCTTTTAGCTCCTTCAAGCAGTTCAGGGTCTTTTCCGTAACCGGAAGACCCCAGCCCAGCCTTGAATCCTTTCCCCCCCCCCCTCCATTGTAACCTGGACAAGTCCCCCCTTTTAAACAAATGCGATTGTACGTAGATTTAAAATGGGATTCTGAAACGTGAGTCAAACATCCCGGTGCCATTAGAACAAGTCAATGCTACCTTGTGCATATATAATAAATGAGGACCATTCCGATATATTATTTAAAAGGCCCAAACTTAAATACATATTATTCAGAATGATTTAAAACACTAAGAGCAAAACCGCTAAACTACGGATAATGGGACTGCAATGCAGCGAGCGCAGGTACAGAATGGTGAACTAAATAACCGAATCCATAATACGGGGATTTGCAGTTCGATACACATTCCCCCTTCCCCCAGTAGCACCTGAAAAAAAAGTTCCTCTTTTCCTTTTGTTGCAACGTTCATGTTTGTGCCCACCTGATGCTTTGGGGCACTGCAACCATTGGAGAGCCTGTCTCTTTTCTTTTTAAGGCGAGAAGAAATCAAAGGAGAACAATATGGGTGGGTGAGCCGAGCCAGTCTCGTCCAGTAGAATTTGGACACTATAATGTCCAATACATAAAGGCAAGGATCTAAAGAAAAGACTCTAGAAAGAGTGCAGAGAAGAGCAACAAAGATGATCAGGGGACTGGAGGCTAAAACATAGAAGGAACGGCTGCTGGAATTGGGTATGTCTAGTTTAACGAAGAGAAGGACCAGGGGGGACAGGATAGCAGCCTTCCAGTATCTCAGGGGCTGCCCCAAAGAAGAGGGAGTCAAGCTATTTTCCAAAGCACCTGAAGGCAGGACAAGAAGCAACGGATGGAAACTAACCAAGGAGAGAAGCAACCTAGAATTAAGGAGAAATTTCCTGACAGTCAGAACAATTAACCCGTGGAACAACCTGCCTCCAGAAGCGGTGAATGCTCCAACACTGGAAGTTTTTAAGAAGAGATTGGACAGCCATTTATCCAAAATGGTGTAGGGTTTCCTGCCTGAGCAGGGGTTGGACTAGATGACCTCCAAGGTCCCTTCCAACTTTATCATTATTATTATTATTATAAAACTAAAAAATCAAATCAAAAATCAAAATCAAACGGCAGCAACTCTTAAGTCTCCCCCCCTTTTTTCTTCTTCTGCAGGTCAGAATTTCCTTTTTTTTCTCCCAGCATTTGTTTTCTTAGTTGCATGATTTCTTTTCGACAATCCTTTCTTTATTCTTTCAACCTGGGTTGTTTCCCCACATACACACACACACACTTCTTTTAAATAACAACGAATTCCTGCTTGGGGGAAAAAAAATGCCCACTCAACTCTTTCCCCGGGCAAAGAAGATTTCCTTCATTTCCCACAGGTGGCACGGTGTGCCCCCCCCCCGTTCAAAATCCTCCTGCTTTGAATTGAACTGCCCTCCTCGTTTGGAGTCTGTGTAATCTAGAGATAGGAGGGGGAACCTGAAGGGATATTGTTAAGCCAGGGGGAGCCATTCAGGGGGTGAGTTTGGATATGAAGCTAATTGAACCGGTAACGTCCATTAAATGTAGCTGTGGATTATTGCAAAGGGGGGGGGAGAGGGACGAAAAGAGAGGCGTTTTGCACGCTCCTTTTTTAATATGCAAAATTCAGCGTAAGAATTTCCCATTCCTCCTGTTTGAAGAGCCCTACAAAGAGGGTCGCAAAAGGGGATCACATAATATAATAATAATAATAATAATAATAATAATAATAATAATAATAATAATAATAATAATAATAATAATAATAATAATAATAATAATAATAATAATGATAATGATGATAATGATAATGATAATGATAATGATAATAATAATAAAGTTGGAAGGGACCTTGGAGGTCATCTAGTCCAACCCCCTGCTCAGGCAGGAAACCCTATACCATTTCGGACAAGTGGCTGTCCAGTCTCTTCTTAAAAACGTCCCGTGTTGGAGCATTCCCCGCTTCTGGAGGCAGGTTGTTCCACTGGTTAATTGTTCTGATCTTGGGACACAGCGACGGTCGTAAGTATGAACCAGGGGCCAAGCGTCCGAATTTTGATCCCACGATCACGGGGACGCGGGAAAGGCCGTCACTCTGAAAAAATGCTCATAAATCACCTTTTTCAGCGATGCAATTCTGAAGGGTCCCTAAACAGATTGTTGTAAGTGGAGGACTACTGGTCATCTAACACAGCGGTCCTGAACCTTTCCGACTCGCCAGCCCGGCCTGGCGTGTGGGGAGGGGGCTCGTGAGGGGCAGGCCTGCACGTGCGCATGAAGCTCCCCTCGCGAGCGGAGAGCGCTCGCGTGCGATGCTCCTTATGCGCGAAGGGCACTTCGCAAACAGAAGCACCCTCCTCTCGCGTGAGTGGCGCCTTGGATGTGAGCGCCAGGGCCCACCGCTCGTATGATTGGAGCTCCGCGCGTGCCCGCTTGCCCATCACCCGTGCGGCCCGGTTTCAAACAGGCTGCGGACCGGTAGCAGGTTGCGGCCCTGGGATTGGGGACCCTCGGAGACTTACAAGCAGTGTTTGTTTTTTGGGTTTTTTTGCCAAATTCTGCCACCAATATATTGTGAACTCTAAACTGTAATGCTTTAGGAATTTAAAAGGGATTTGGGGTGCCAGCGTGTGCGTTTGTGCGTGCCAACCTTAGGTTTCGCTCCGATTCGTCTCAGGCAGTAACAAGAGAGAGCTGGGCGTAAGCAGCCCCATAAAACTATTACGAAGGAAAAGGATTAAAAGACGGGGGGGGGGGAAGGAGCTGCAGAGCGCATAGCAATTTACCATGGAGTTTCCAGAGGTCGCTCGCCCCACCCTGCAAGAGAGAAGGGCATCTTCAAATGAAGTCTTAACTCCCCTTCACGTTTAATAACTTTGCTCGACATTTCACCCCATCTCCCCGCATCTCTCACAAGCCCCCCCCCTCCGGATCTCACCGATGATCCGTCAAAAATTCTCCCTTTTGTGCACGGGGGGTGGGGTGGGTGAGGGTGTGTGTGTGTGTGGGGTGGGGAGTTCCAAGTTTCCCCTCCCTCCCTCCTCGGGCTCCCGTTTAATAAGGCAGCCGAAAACTCATCTCCCTTCATTTGTCCCTTCCCTCCGTGAGTTCACTGGCAACGCTCATAATTATGCATATAAGATATAAACAGAGCTGTTTAATTATCCTTCGCCACATCAGTGACAGAGTAATTAACAAACATTGCAAGATCAATGAGGAGAAGGCTGACCTTCAGATGCTTTGATCGGGAAAAGCCCTTGCCTGTCGCCACCACAAGGTGATTGAGTTTGGACTGGCGCTTTAAGTTTGTTTTAATTCCTCAGACTTTTCCTTTCCCCCTCCCCAAAATATACATACATATATATATTATGCCACCTTCTTTCTCTGCAGTATGCATTTCTGCACACACTCCCCAAATACAGAGTTATGGGGGAAAGGAATGACTTTCAGAGTCTCTGACCACAGGGAATTGTATAGCTCCATATGGCAGAGATGGGTGTTTTTTTTAAAAAAATATATATATATAATAATTTAAAAAAAAAAAAATAACAGCCTGCCTTTCTAAGTCTCGATCGACAAAGGTGCCCATCCAAAACGTGTTTTCCGGCTTCTGGAGGTGAGCAAGACGAGGAAAATTCGAGGAGGAGCTTGCGACCTCCGTGGTAGCGAACGTGTCCACGTGTCGTGCCGTGGGCGCACGCCGTGGCACGGGGCTTTCGTCAAGACAGGCTGGCCACAAAAACCAAGCGGATTGAATACAGCCATCCGTGGATTGTTTCTGATATTGAAGGGCTTGTGCGGGGTAGCGGCAGATGTTCGCCTTTGCGAGATTACCCGTGGAGTAGGACGAGGGAGATTTGCCCTGGTAGGGGGGTCAGCACCGTTATAACCTCATTGAAGGTTATAACGGTGCTGAAAAGGAGTGCCTTACGAATGTTTTTCACACTTAATGACCGTCGCAGCATCCTCACTGTCGGGCAATCGAAACTGGCCAATGGCGCGTATTTATGACGGTTGTGGTGTCACGGGGTCACGCCATCCCCTTTTGCGACCCTCCGACAGTGGGGGAAGGCAGATTGACTTAACAGCCGTGTTACT